GTCTTGATACTGCTAATATACTGAACGAAACGAGGCCGTTAAGTCATGGCATAACGGCTTCGTCTTGATACTGCTAGTATACTGAACGAAACGAGGCCGTTAAGTCATGGCATAACGGCTTCGTTTTGATCTGTATATAATACTATTATTAATGGTATGATTTTTTACCGACGTTTAAAACGGCCGCAAAATGACTGATATATATAGACGAGGATAATGACTTAATTCGTTATTATCTATTCATTCTTATTATAGGGTGCTTTGACCACATTGGACATTATAATTAAAAGGGAATAGGATAGATTGGTAATACTTGTTTACCAATATCCCTTGCCCCTTATTTCTTGTGGAGTAATTAAAGCACACTAACAGTCATCATAGTCATGCCTTTATATTATGGGTTACCCCTACAGTAGCAAGGTACTATATAAAGAATTATAGTTATCTGAAGGCTTAAAATTTGTCTACTTGTAAAATTGAAATATGAATGGGTTTTTATAGTTTGTATTCAACGCTATATTCCCTATTTTCACGAGATAGTGCAATGCTAGTCCCATAAACATATATTAACCATATGCTTCAATATTTTAGAACACTAACCGTATTGGACCACCCTATCTCTTTCCCACTTTAAAGTTTCACTGTATATAATTTGGTTTCTTTCACATTCTTGCACTTCTTTATTAATTAAAATGCAATTTTATTTTGAAACAGTTTCACAAAATATGTGCTCATGATCACCCATGATTGTACCATGATTGCAACTATCTAAATTCTAAAATTTCCTCTGAAATTCCTTTAATATTTCCTTACTATAGACAATCACATGTATTATCACGGAACTTTAAAGGAATTCCTTAAGAATTCCCAAGGAATTCTTGAAGTTTATGAAATCAATTTAATATTTTAATTCGTAAACAATACAACGATACTAAAGTATTTGTCCCATGTGAGAATATCTGAATTTAGAAAGTTACTGTAAATTAATGAGAAAAAGTTGCCGTTATACAGTGTGAAGATAAAGATATTCATCCGAATTCCAAGTATGATTATATAAACAATTAAATTAATCTGTAAAACGGGTAAATAGATTTCTCTTATTTTACGATGTATACATGATCTACTAGTAAAGAAAAACAGCTAGTTGCCAAAGGCTAGAGTTGAACATATTGTGAACTAGCCATTGGAATGATTCTCCAGATTCACAAGGGGCATGGGGCATATTTCATGATTTGCTACCTGAATTGTCCACATGGTTTACAAGCACATACTGGATATAAATATTAGTTATGCAGTATCAAGTGCATGTAGATGCCCAAAAATTAAATCCTGAAAATTTAATAGACTGTACATATACTTTTTGAGATATGTAATAAGAGGATGTTTATATGGGGGTGAGGCTGGATGCCCGGGGTTAGCGGCTACAGATTTAAGGTCACTTTTCCTGAAGCAAGATCTCGGGCTAAAGGGGCGGGATCTCGCTTAGCTATAGCTGGGCCCGCTCTTTACCCATATATACACAAGGTGAACTTTAGTAAGAAATAACAACAAAGACAGGATCTTGCCAAAACTGGGCCAGCTTGGGTACCCTGGGGTTGGCTTGCAGTTGCACCATATAAACAGCCCCTATATATAGGCAGTATATATTTTGTCTGGTAATTGGAGTCTTTGGAGATTTTGTATGTAAATGAATATAAAAATGACCCTTTAAGGGTGAGTTGAGGGGGGTGTTTCTGTCAACATTTTGGAAAGCAATAATATTTTATTAAAAAATTAGAATAATCACATATATTTAAACTCTGATAGTAGTATATATTGTATTGTGTGTGATTAAAGTAAGTTTTTTTTTACCCCACCTCTGCATGCAAGGATTTTTTGGCCACCCCACCTAAAGCAACTATTATTTTTCAGTTACCCCACCATTTTCTCTTCGGCCCCCACCCCTGCCATAAATAATGACCGGTCCCTAACTCTTAATATTCCAAATGTGGTGCGCCAAGTCATGTATAGAAAATATCTATTACGTTTTGGGCTTTTGGTTTACTTATACCTTTATTTAGATTACATATATACGGTAATGTAAAATATTTTTCCGCTGACCGGTAGGTATCCAAAGTAGCCGATACTGGCAATTTAAGTAATCACTTCTGGTATCGAAAGTTAAAATTTGTGTTTATTGTAGTATCGAAATAGGTATCGGTATCGAACGATACCGATTTTAAAAGTATCAGTATCGAACTAAAAATCCTAGTATCGCCCATCACTATTTGTCAGTGGCGTAACAACAGCTCTATATTTTTTTTTGTTGGGGGGGGGAGGGGGGGGGGGCGAAGGCGTGCGAAAGC